AGGGCCATGTTGATCTCCCCTCTCTTCTCCTTCAAAGGAAAGAGGATCCCCACCTCTCTCTAAACCCCTTAGAGCCAAATGTTTTTTGTGCAAAAGATACTTTGTTCAAAATTGAAATTTCTTTGTTTTACTTGCCAAGTACTGGGTGTTTGGCTTTGGCTATATACTACCATTGCTACTTTCTACTTTCTTTTAGTTGAAATCTAAGTCCAACTTGTTCAAGGCTAGAATTTCGAAGTTTCAAGGTCCTTGACTTGGTGAAGGAAATGAAGGTTTTGGCATTATTGGATCTACCCTTGCTTCAACCCAAGGCAGTTGGGGTTATTGTGGTGGAGGGTACCATGAAGCCAAATTTTGATAAATGTTCAAGGGTTAATTTGGGACTACTAGGTATAGGTGGGGTTTTTAGAGATGAAGAACGTATTAATAGGGCTGGAAATGAGCTGGCGGCCCAGCCCAGCCCTGGAAAGTTAGGGCATGTGCCACAAAATGTGACCGGAGGGCTGGGCCAAGGCTAAGTCACCACGGCATGAGAGCTAGCGGTAGTGTTTCAAAAAGCGCTAGGTAGCCGTGGGGGTCCAAGCTGCCTAGTGCCTAGGCGGGCGCCCCGAACCGGGGCGGCCCAATAGAAAAAAAAGGTAGAAGTTTTTTTATGATTTTATCCATAACTATATACTAAATATAATAGTATAACTATATAACACATAATGCATAATCCAAAAACTAGAAACAAAAAATAAGAAAAAGAAAATATACAGACATTAAGAAAATATATAATCTAGGACTCAATAATCAAGAGTCAACACCAAGAGTAAAGCGTCTTCAATGCTTCATTCTTCAGTCGTCATCATCATCATCATCAGGAGTAGGGTAAGCCCAGTGTTTTAAAAAGCGTTAGGTGGCTCCTAGGCAGTCGGGGGGGGGTCCAGGCTGCCCAGCGCCTAGGCGAGCGCCCAGAAGCTAGGCGGCCCAGTTGAAATAAATTTTTTTTTGGGTTTTCTCTCTCTAAAATGGCCACAATTTTGCCTCTTTAGTATTAAAAAAATGACCCAAAAATACCCTCAAGGAGTTGCAGTTCTGCCCCTGGGTGGGGCACAAGTCTTGGGCGGCCGCTTAGGCGAGTGCCCAGGGAAATCTGCCTAGGCGGCTGCTCAGGTGCTAGGCGGTCCGCTTTTTGAAACAATAGGTAAGCCTCATCATATGCATCAGATTCGAGACCATCATCATCAGCGTCATCTCCCTTTTCAACATAACACTCGTCCTCCTCTGTTTCTTTTGAATCTACCTCTTCCTCCTCTTCTTCTACCTCCTTTTTACTCTGTGCAGATGAGGCCCTAGGAGTCTTGGCTGCTCTACTCTTTTCTATCTTTTTGTGCTTCCCTGAACTCAAATATTGTATAATCTCCTCCCTGCTAGCCTCACGAACATTTTTGAATGGGGCAACATCCCCCTTAATACTAGCTAGGTGTTTTTTGAACTGGTAAATACCCCCATTAGTATTCTTTGTGCATAGCAGAGCAAGGGATGAGAAGGCCTCCATATTCTTGTCAAAGTGCTCGCTGTTGAGGGGTTTTTGCTCTTGCGAAGCACTCTAAAGCGAGTTTGATGCGTAGCCCATGCGGAAGATCAAAACTTGGGGCTTGCTCATTGCCTCCGCTGGCAATGCTAGGACAAGCTACCACTAGCTTTGTTCGTTGCCTACACAACGAGTTCAATCGTTAAGCGGGAAGGTTTTTTTTTTTTAAGAAGGAACCTTTTTACAAGCAGCAACATTCCCTTTAATACCGGTAATGTGTTTCTTAAATCGGTTAATACGCCATTGGTATCTTTTTCACAAAAATTACATCTTATACAATTTTTATCGTTTGGTTTCGGGTTATAACCATATTTCCAACCTAGATCACTTCTTCTAGCAGAACCATAAATAGGCCTATCTAAATGACAAGGATTTTGTTCTTGTTTGTGTTTTACTGCACTCACATATTGGTTAATCTCATCTTTGATAGCTTCAGGAACATTTTTACAAGGGGCAACATCCCTAGATACCGGTAAGATGTTTCTTAAATCGGTCCCCTTTATGTATCCTTTTCACAACAATTGCATCTTATGCAATTTTTGTCATTCAAATTTGGGTTATATCCATATTTCTAACCCAGATCACCACTTCGACTACATCTTGAAGAAGACATCTCAAAATAATACAAGCAATCTAAAAAATAAATTTTTGCACGTACTTTGATTGCTCGAACTCCAAACTTCCACCTTTGAGATGTTTTTTGGTGCTAAAATATTAAAAAACACCCTCTAATAGGACTAAAAAAACTCCAAAACTAAATCTAATCTTGATGGGTGATGTTTGGATCAATTTCCTATAACTTTGAGAAACATTTCAATCCAATGAAAATCACAAAATCTAGTTTTTTTTAGGTTTCTCTTTCTTTAAAATGGGTTCATGTGGGGTTTAGGTTTCAAATAAACCTAAAACCCACATTTACAAACATTTTTTTTAAAAAAAAACCTCAAAACATCCCAAAAAGAAATCCATTTCCACCCTTGGGCGGCTGCCCAGGGACCGCCCACCTAGTTTGGCCGCCGAGGTCTGGGCGATGTGCCTAGGTCTTCTGGACCGCCTAGGCACTGGGCGGTCCACTTTTTGAATCATTGGCTAGCAGGCAGGGTTTGGGCCAGGGCCACAACAGGGCCGGTCTTGCTGACCCTTTTTACACTTTATTTTTTCTTTTCTTTTCTCTAGGTCGATTAAGCCCCAGTCTGGGCTGGCCCTACAGGGACTAGGGCTGACTTGGCCCGATGTCATCCTTATGTAGGAAGCTTAAAAGCTCCTCAGGCCCATAGGGGATATGTGGTTCAACAGTAGTAGAGGCTCGTGCATTGCTTATAGGTCTACGAATCTTTCTGTTCCATTTAAGGAGTGGATTAGTAGTATCAAGGGATTGTCTTAATTTTATATGATTAGCCTGTAAATTATACTTTATTTTGTGGAGGTTGGCTATGATCATTAGCGAGAACTTTGATGACACATTTGGTACACATGAAAATACTTTTGTAAAGTATTTGCATGTGAAAAACTTCCTCATGTGACTAGGAATGAGAGTTTTTTTCACACCAATTGGTCCCAGTGCATTTTTTTCACACTACTTGGCAGCCAATTGGTCCCAACGCATTTTTTCACATTACTTGGCAGCCATTTGATTGGTAAAAACTCCCACACCAAATCACGTGAGGGAGTTTTTTCACGTGAAAATACTTTCATGGAAGTGTTTTTCACATGTGCCAAACGTGCATTGCCTTGAGATTCGCGACTCCAAGAATGTGACTTTTGTAGACATTCTTAGCAGACCTAACCAAGAGGTGGCTAGCCTCCCTCGCCAATGAAAGGCTTCTTCAAGAACTACTCTATGTGAAAATACTTTCATGGAAGTATTTTCACATGTACCAAATGTGCCCTGATATTCGTGACCCTGAGTGTGACTTTTGTGGACATTCTTAGCAGACCTAACTAAGAGGTGGCTCCCCTCCCTCGCCAATGAAAGGCTTCTTCAAGAACTACTCTATGTGAAAATACTTCCTTGGAAGTACTTTCACATGTACCAAATGTGCCCTGAGATTCGTGACACCAAGAGTGTGACTTTTGTGGACATTCTTAGCAGACCTAACCAAGAGGTGGCTACCCTCCCTCGCCAATAAAAGGCTTTCTTCAAGAACTACTCTATGTGAAAATACTTTCATAGAAGTATTTTCACATGTACCAAATGTGCCCTGAGATTCGTGACACCAAGAGTGTGACTTTTGTGGACATTCTTAGCAGACCCAACCAAGAGATGGCTACCCTCCCTCTCCAATGAAAGGCTTCTTCAAGAACTACTCTATGTCGAAATAATTTCAGTGTCAAAATAATGAGATGTTTGTCTTGACATCTCTTGATCTTTGTTTTATGTTTTGATTTTCTTTTTAAGCTTATTTTAGTTTTTTTTTTGTTAATGGTATAAAAAATAAGTTCAACTTGTTAAAGATTAAATTCAACTTCCTACAGTGTGCTTGCTTCCTTTTAGTCTTACCTTAAGTGCTTGGTTAAATGACTCATTCTTTTCTTTTCTTTTTAAATGGAAGTTGATGATTGGATTGGATTATTTGATTTTACGCGTTGTGTGTGTGTGTTTGTGCATGTGTGCATGCGCATGTGCTTGTGTGTGTGCGTGTGCCGGTGTGTGTGTGTGTGTGTTTAAGGTGTCAACCTTATATTATAGAAGTGAGGCACACCTCAAAAATCTACTAGAAATCTTGTTTCAATGTTGAAAACCATCCAGTGATCATCTCGACCTCAAGATTTATGGCTTTAGAAAGAAAAGGATTTCAAAATTTAGAATTAGTGCATCTTGTAATGCAATATATGGACCGTCCATTTTCAATATTTCCAAGTCTTTATATATCTTCTTGATCTACATCATTTTTGGAGCTTTAAATTTCATAGTTAGGTGTAGAATTGAATTTTTAGGGCATCGTAAGAGTCTCTGGTACTGGAACTGCATTTTCAGGCAGGGTTTGACGGCACATAACCCGCATATTAATGTTTTTCTTTGTGTTCTTAGAAATTTTGTTTTTGTTTTTGTTATAAATAATTCCAGCTTAGGAATATATGCCCCCCACATTGCGCTTCATCAAGCGCCCTTGTGGATTGGACCCCCCAGAACCTCAATCCACTTCCTGCATTTGATGACCTTGCTTCCTTGTGTTTTTTTCCCTGAAAAGAACTTTGTTTCTTATTTATGAACCTATTCCTTGCTTATTTTTTATCAGTTTTTGGGTTTGTTAGTTGCATTCATGTATTTGGGATGTATGATTTCCTTCCTTGGTGACTTATCCATTTTGCATAGTCTTGGATTACATATTGATATTGGATTCCAAATGTATATATATATATTTTTTGTATGCTTTATTTTGGTAATGGAACTGAAAATTTGATTCTATTTTGTTGCAAGCAGGTTGAGGAATGCTGCCTTCGTGGATTTTAAGGATGATGTTTTGGCTTCTCAAGCACAGTCGCAACTCAACAGGTGCTTTTAGGGGTCCCATAGGTATTTGTGTGTTTTTGGACCTTGTTATAATGGAAATACTTGTATCATTTCTTTTCCCTATAACCACTTTATGTAGAAAGTTTTGCGACATCATTTGAAGGAAAATGTAGTCCATATATTGTAGACTTCTGGTGAAGTAATTTTCTGGGAAGATTTTAGAACATAGGTAAAACCATTTTCTTTTGTTTGCTTCAATTTGTTTAACAGCAGAAATTTTGCATATGGGTGGAGGTATAAATTTAGAATATATAAAAAAATCTTCCAATAAAAGCTTGTCTTTCCTTGGTAGCTCCTTATTTGGTTGTTTCTATTGTCATCATTTGCTATATCTTTATCTTTGTCCATGTCAATATTAGGCTTATCTTTGAGGTTTAATTTTTTAGTTGTACTTGCTTTTATATTGTTTTCACATTTTTTATTTCTATTGCAGTTTCTTTTCTTTTTATTTGATTTTGAGCCATTTGTTAGTTTTCTTCGTAGAGGATGTGGAGCTCTCTGTTTCTTTTATTTTAAGCACTGTTATTACTTTTTAGAAACAGGTTCTTTCTGGCAGTAAGGTTCTTTTTCATCAATATTTGCAAATAAGTGCTCTGAGCGTGTATTATGAGGCATTCGTACTTTCCTTTCATGCTTTGAATATATAATGCAGGTTGAGATTTCTTGGGAAGGTTTTATCTGTCGAGAGAGCAAGCACATTGGCAATAAATAAGAAGCACAGAACTGAGGAAGTGTGTAAGCAGAATGCATCCTGTACACCTGATTCATTCATAAAAGAGACTCAATTAAGGGGCAGCCAGGCCAAGGGAGAATCCATTGCCATTTCAGTATCCATTAGTGAGCCAATTGCTCCAAGACTTGGTGTGGACTATCCATTTCCACCTCACCTTGAGTATGCTTTATTTCCTTGTCAGCTCATGGTACCTTTTTTATTGTTTTTGTTGGGTAAGCATGGATGCAAACCTGTTTCCTAACGGTCAGGTCTAGGTCATCCATATTACTAGATATGGTATTGAATTTACATTCATGAGCACTTTTTGGATCATTACTGGTTAATATATTATTTTTTAATTAGTATTTGTTACACCAAGTTAGGAACTACTTCACCTTTGATCCATATGGGTTGGTAGTATTTCTGTCATGGTCATGTGTTGTTGTTTTGGTATTGAGAACTTGTCAAATATATATGTTGAATACTTCATTGCTACTACCTGAGTTTGAACTTCTGTTTGCTTCCAAAAGGTGTCTTAGAATATTGCCTTAGCTTTTATGTGCTATTGATGTCAATCTTTTGGGCTGTTGCTGCCTGCTCTTCTTTTGCTGCTTAGCATCTGTTCAACCTTACAGGTATGCATATCCACCACCAGATGGGAATATATTGACAAACATTGTGAATGCTCTCATTGCTGTTCCTCGTTTTTATACTCAGGTTACTGCCTTACCTGCTTTAGCATGAAATACTATGGATGAATATTGTCTACTATCCATTTTCTCAAAAATAAAAGTGTTACTATCCGTTTTCTTTCAGTATGAAAATTATGTTGTTAAATGTACTTGTGTTTTCAACTTTGTGATGTGCATGCTTTGCAGGTCTTGCATTTGATGAACAAAATGAATCTTCCAGCTCCATTTAGACCTGCATTACGAACTCCTCCTTTGCCATCTTCAATCCCTGTTCCGCCACCACCACCCCCATCTCCACCACCAGATCCTGTTGGAGTCGAGAAGCCACACAGGGCAGATATTTCTAGTGATGAATCAGAGTTAGAGTCTTCAGATGAAGTATGCTCTTCTTGCTTGTAGGATTTGATCGATTTGCTCATAAAAAATCTTAACAATTTCAGTAGTGATTAGTATTTACGTGTTATCTTTTTTAAATTCGAACAGGGTGATACGGATGAGAAGAATCAAACTGTTGGTTCTGCAAGGAAACGTGTGAAACGAGTGGCTATTGTAGGTCCAGCAGTTGATAAAGATGTATCCCATGAAGCTGTAGGCGTAAAACCAATTTCTGTGGTTCCAAAGGGAATAACTGCCATAAAAAAGAAGAATTCTGTTTTGCAGGTTCTGTTTTCTAAACTGGGATTTGTTATTTCTTGCCCAAGTTCTTATTTGGCTAACTGTTCTGCATATCTCATTTTGCGTGACCAACTGTTCTTGATCATTGCAGATCAAAATTACTCCTAAAGTTGTACAAAAAGAAAAAAATGAGGATATTGATGGGGTGGAAGAAGCAACAGAGCAAGCTGATGTGGCGTTAGAAGTTAAACCTTATGCAACTCCCCAAGAAATAAAGGCTGCGAAGTTGCCTCCTGAGGAAATATTATCACTTCCAATGTTTAAGGTTAACATTCAAATGTTAATGAGCAAGTTAAAGATATATCTCTGGCAGTTCAGATCTGCTTGCATATTGTTAATTATTACTGAATGCTCATGAGAAATCATCTTAGTTCAATGAACTAGATATCCTGGGAAATCTCCAAGGCTTAGAATTTTGAATTGGTGATTTGCCCCAAATTATGATAGTGAGGTCTGCATTTAGTTTTAATTATTTATGGTTCTATCGTTATTTCATTTTATGCTCAGTGGTCTTGGAGATAACCTTCTATGCTCTTGCTTTTGAGCTTGTTATGGATATGTGTTGTTGTGATGAGCTGTGGATATAGTCCCTTTGAGGCATGGTTTATATCTTATGTGGTGTAGTGTTGCTTGTGTTGCCTTAGCTTATTGTATACCCGAATATGGATTTCTGGTTACTATCTTTTTGTTTTTCCAATCTTCTTCTATTTATAGAGTTCGAGTTACCTATAGAAAAGAGGTTCATTTATTTATAGAGGCCAAGTACAAAGAAGGGCACACAACATTGCTCCAACTTAGGAAGGTCATTCCACTCAGAGTTTCCTAGGATATAGCATTTAGAGCTTTACTAGGTATAGGCATAGATATGAACCCTATTTTGAATAAGTATGCATCATAGATGATACTCCTTATACCTCATAAATATTCATTATATTGCCTAGGAAACTGTTGGTGTTTTGCTTTATTATATGTTTACAGGGCCTTGAATCTTTCGTGATAAATAATTAAAATATATGATATTTGGACTCTATGCAGAATTATGTAGCGGGAAACCCAAGTCCTGTGCTTTACATCAAGAATTTGGCAAAAGATGTTGTTCGTGATGACATCTATTTCATTTTTGGTAAGCCATTTAAAGCAATAAATGAACACCTGAGGGCAATCTTCTTTATTTCTACATTCTGTATGAAGCATTTAGATTCCCAAGAGAAGTCTGTGAGCCAAATTTCTGGTCCTAGGCTTTTGTCATTTTGTTTCGAACTCTCCTACCATGTTGAAAACTTGAAATTGCAATGATATGTGATGCAGGATCTCTTTTTGGGAGTGCTGAGGCTATTAAATCTGGTATCGATATTAAGTTAATGCAGGTGGGATTCTTTGTCTCTGTCCCATGTTATTTATGGAGCTCGTTTGATGGACTCTTGTCATGCCTTAAGACTGCACTAGTATTTTGAAGTTCAATGCATGTGCTGCCAATTGCTGGCATGTTGTGTATGCACAGTATCACAGTTGCCGGTTATAAAAATCATTTTTAGGGGTTAATTTGTTGGAATTGTCTGTAAAGTGGAAAGTTGATTTCTATAGATTTGTTTTGTTGGTTGCTGGAGATGATTATGATTCTTCAGTTTTCATTCAGGGCAGAACTGGTTGATCATTGTTTAAATTTTGAAGGGTGCGGTTTGTATGGAGCCGAGGCTCTAAACAATCAAATTAGAGCCCACCTTCAAATAGTGTCGAGAAATGTGTTTTCAATACTGAAAATCATTGATTACTTTTAAAATATATTTTCATCTTTAATTATAAAATTTAAAGATTAAAAAATAATGTAGATCGAGCAGATCTATGAAAACTTGAATAATTTAAATATAGACGGTCCAAAAATGCATTACAAGATGCACTATTTCCAAAACTTGAAATCTTTTTTCTCAAGTTCATGCATCTTGATGTTGAGATGATCAATTTGAGGATATTTGGGCATCAAAACAACCTCTTCTAGTAAAATTTTTTAGGTAGGCTCTAATTTGATTGTTTAGAGCCTAGGTTCTATATAAACTTTTCTGAATTTTGAATAATTGTAAACTATTTTGTTCGATGGCATTCTAGGAGGGAAGAATGAGGGGTCAAGCTTTTGTGACATTTCCATCAACAGAGCTTGCACATCATGGTCTGGTATGTATCTTTTACGGATGCAATCTTATTTATTATTTAAGTGCCATTGCAGTTGTGTATCTCCATCAAAGCTCCTTTCATAAGAACCTATATAAGGAAGTAGTGATGAACATTTAATGTGTACGTAATTCCTTCTAGGATCAGAGCTTTAATCATCAAACATAAGGATTATACTGTGTGTGTTGATAATATAAGACATTAAAAGATTGATTGGATGGAAAATGCAGCAATGAAAGAGTCATAAATGGCTACAATCAGTGTTTTTCGAATCACCAAGCCAGCTTGGGACTGCTTGAGCTGGCTTGGAACCGGTGGAGAACTGGTCCTAGTCCCCCCCACGGATTTGGGACTCGGACCGGTTCACCCTAAAAATCATGTTTTTATGAGTAATATGTCATAAAACATTGTTTTTGATTGATTTGAGAATTCTAAACCTTGTTGAAAATTTGTTAAACAACCAAGGTTTTAATTTTACAATTTTGTTTTTTTAAAATTTCTCCTTGTTGGCCCCTAGCCAAGCTTGGAACTAATGCGTGAGCAGTTCGAATCACTGGTCCGATTTTTAAGACACTGGCTAGGACACCCAGTATGACTTACCTGAAATTCTCACATGATATTTCTTTTCTGAATTCAACCACAGTAAGGATGAGATATTATTCTATCCATGCGTCTTTGTAGACAATTTTATTCATGTGCATTGACGTCCCCTGTTCTCTCCATTCCACTTTTCTTGGAGCTTCCTTTGGCTAAACACCAATGACCATTTCTTCTTATGCATTGATTTTTGTTAGTATATGACTGTTATTCACGGTATCCAAGGCATAGATCTGCCGAAACTCTTGTTCATTCTCTGGCAACTCCAGACTATGCTTACCAATTGGAACTGAATTTACCACTACAAAAAGCTTTTTATATGCATAGACACTCATCCTTCATATCTGCCTTTTCCCCCTGCTGTTACCAACTTACCATCAAGAAGTGCGGTACCATGAAGTAAAGCTTGACAGGAAACTCTTGGTTGCAGAAACTAGTAAATGGGTATGTTTTCAAAGGGAAACCGATGATAATCCAGTTTGGTCGGAATCCAGCAACTGGCAAAAGCAGCTGATGCAACTATCTTCAGAGCAATGGATGACAGGATTCCACAAAATTCAACCACAGGTATCACCACACGTTAAAAGAAGAAGAAGGGATTCCCCAAAATTCAAGAGCTTTATATGCGCATGATTTTTAAGGTTTAGTGCAATGCATTTTTGGTAGCCACAGAAGCAAAGCCTGGCTCATCATTTTGAATGTACATATGTTGAGTTTAATGATTTTCTTAAGCTTTTTCCTGGTTTTAATGTGTAATATTTCTGGCTGATGAAGCGTTCCCACTGTTATTGAATTGTGGAATCTCTCTCTCTCTCTCACGCGCTGACACAGTTGCAGGCTACTCTTGTGTTTCTTTTCCCGGTGCTGATCGAGCCCTCCAAAATACTAAAGTTTTGCAGGAGGCAGTGAATGCATGGTATGCGGGATATGCAGGAAAATGTGATCTTTTGGCGTAAAAGAAATGTAGAATTAGTATCCACTTTATGGAAATTGAAGTTTATTTCCACCATTAATCATAGATAATAATAGCCATACAATCCCAAGGGGGTTAAGTTAGGGTTGTTTTCTAATGTTTTGATTAATTCTTGTTCCTAGGCGATTTGAGATTGAAGTTAGCCTTTCTTTTAATTTTGAAGTTATCATAGCCATATTTGGATTCCTTTTTGTTTTTTTGGTTTTGCGTGGAGGAAAGTGAGGCGGAATTAGAAATTTAATTTTCAGTAGACAAAGCCTAGTTATATATATACCTAAATACGAAAAATAGTTTTTTCCTCCCTTGAAGAGTTCTTTCAGGGTGTATTCCTCGAACATAATCTCTCAACATCTACTACCCTTTCCTTATTTTTAATTTTAGGAAAATTTATCAAAATACCTATGAGAATTACACTATTTATCATTTAAATATATTGTTTAATTTCAAAATACCTTTGAAACACAATGACCATGAGATGGGAGTCGTTACAAATGTGTGAAGTCTTACAAGTATTTTGATAATTTTCCCTTATTGTAAACAAAATTTGAATTTTTCTCCAAACGTTATTCACACGCCACAAAAAGCTCTAATGGTTTAAATATCACCGAGGCATGCTATATGAGTGGTGGAACGCACAAGAGATTCTACCATGATCAACCACCCAAGATTAAATATGGCTTCATGTACAGCAAGTTTAAATCGACGATTCAACAAAATCATGATTAAGTTCAACAAAATCATGATTAAGAGCTCTTACAAAAACGAAATGAAGACGAGCTCCTCTAATTTTAGGGAAATGGACAGGATTCATGATTCATGAAAAGATGTAAATTTTTATGTTGGCTGCCCACCTGACATAACCTTCCTTTCTTTGAGCTTTTCGGACCATAATGACCTACTTGGGACGGGCAATGGAAGAGTTAATGAAACAATATAATGTAATTAGGGTTTTTAAATTTGTGTATTATTTTTAAGAGTTTGAAACTAAAACTAATGTGAGTTTATGTACTTGCATCGTTTTGTTGCTACGTAGAACCAGGTAATATAATTAAAAAAATTAAATTTAAGATAAAAAATTATAATTTAAATAGTGATAAGGTTTCTTACAGGCCAAATTATATTTTTTGGGTTAATTGCTTAGCCTCTGTTATTACCATTTCTTCTGAAGTTACCAGGTAGTCCCAATGAACCCAAACCCTTCGAGAGGAGAGTCCCTTCTCTCTCTAGAATCTCCACTCCCAGATTCTATCTCTATAACTTTGCAAACACGTCGCGAAGGGATTCTCCTCTCTCCTCTTTTTCTCTCTCTAGAATCTCCACTACCAGCTTCTATCTCTATAACTTCGCAAACACATCGCTACAATAATCTCCTCTCTCTCTCTACCACTGGCATAACAATCATCCCCCTCTCCGCATGTCTCATCTCACAAAAGCCTCAACGCTACAATTGCCACCCCCTAACCATAACTACCCTTCTCCATCACTAGATCTATTGCATTCAAAAATCTCCTCATGTGTCAGGTGCTTACCTTCTTCAAATACAATCAATCTAGCCTCTCCAGTCTTCACTCTACTAATGTTCTCTTAATCTCCTTGGTTTCTGCACTCCTCTTTCTACAGAGAAAATACTTATCAAATAAAAGCAAAAACCACCATTCCATCCATTAAACCAATCTTTATTCCAGCTATGGAACCAGAGATCGAAGAGGCCATGGAAACTTTACAGAGAATCCACTTTCTATTTGACCTGCTTTCTGAAACTTTTTGTAGAAGCCATGGAAAATTGACCTGAACTCTCCTATGTCTAGCATTTTCTCCACCACTTTCTCCATCTTCCTCACCAAATGTCCCCCTTATCTCTCCAGAGAGAGAGAGAGAGAGATCTTTCTCTATTAATGGGTGATCAATTTAGGTGAGAACTTTCCCCATTCTGTTTTTTACGGGCTTAAGGGTTACCGGGTCGCCGGGACTTCCCAAGTAACCCCCAAGCCCTATTAATTTGAAAATTTATCAAAATACATTTTACAGATACACTATTTAACATTTTACATAAATCTTTTGATTTAATTTCAAAGCCCTATCAAAATACAAATGATCATGAGTTGGAATTGTTCAGTAGTTAACTTATATTTGGATAAGTTCCCTTTAAATTATGGCCATGGGATGAGATTAAGCATTAGCAATCCAACAGTCATCCGCCCTTGGGCAGTCACCCTAGGGTCCACCCTTGGGAATACAGAAATCAGAAATGTTTTCGCTGACTATGTACAGAAATATTTACAGCTTGGAGGTAATTCTCACAAAATGGAACATGTTTTCAGCCCTTAAATGCTACCGTTTACTGGTTATATTCTCCCCAAAACAAAAAAAGTTTACTGGTTATGGAACCCTCTTCCACCATCATTAAGATGGAAGTTCGAATCCACTTATTATGGATTGACTTTCAGGGGATAGGAGGCATGGGGATTAACTGGGAATTTTGCTTCTAATTAATCTGAAACCATAGACAGGAACTGGTTACATTTATCAATTGCTAAACAAAAAGCTTTAACTAATGAACATAAGAACATTGCCTACACAGAAAGGGTGTAAAATTAAAACTCAAATTATCTACTAAAAAAAAAACACAAAGCTCAGACTGCTGTTTTAGAAGTGCTAGGTACATCATCAAGAATGTAATGGCCTAATTTCCCAAGCCTGAATAGAGTCAACAACCTTTTAGACACCATATAGTGTGCCTCGTTACTTGCCTTGTGGGGGATTTTGAAAGCCTTCTGCAATGCATCGAACTGCTCTTCAATCAGGGTTTCCAAATCATTTTCATTCTCCAAGTTCCCACTGAATTCTGAATAAGTGTTAACGAGGGCCCTTTGAACTTCTGTTACAAGATCCTAACAATAATCAAAGTTCAAAAGCTTAGTCTTCAATATCTTGGCTCGATAATCTAAAAAAATGGAAAGATTAAGGAAGATGTCGTAGATAGAATTAAGGCTGGGTGGGCAAAGTGGAGATATGCAACTGGAGTTTTATGTGATCGCCGTAGGACAGTTATAAGACCAGCTTTGCTTAGTGGGACGGAATGTTAGGCGGTCAAAAAACAAATACCTATTGATGAGTGTAGTTGAGATGGATGAATGGCAAGACAAGAAATGGTAGACTTTGAAATGAATACATTCGAGGGAACTTAGGGATGACTCCAATAAGCGACAAGATAAGCAAAAGTAGACTTAGGTGGGCTGACCATGTGCAATACAAATCCAATACAACACCGGTTAGGAGGTGAAATTTGGTTCAAGTGGATGACCCAAAAGGACATAAATGGAAGTAGTGAAAAACAATATGGGGACTTATAGTTTTACTGGGTGTAAGGCCCTTGATAGAGCAGAATAGCATAACAAGATTTGTGTAGACGACCTCAAATAGTTGGGATAAGGCTCTGATGATGATGATGATTATTATTGTTATTATGATCCACATGCTTTTAGTAAATAAGCTCCGAAATTGACATTTCTTTGGCAGCCTACTGTCATCTTACTCAAAATGGGAATAAAACATGGGTATTTCTTCATTATAGTAGACCTTAATATCATAACTAAAGTTCCAAATGATATATTGGATCGTTTGGCAGCTGGAACTTGGAATCAGAACTCGAGATTTCCAATTCTGAAATGTGGAACGCAGAAAATTGAATACCTGCTGATAGAAAATACTATGTTTGATTAACCAATCTAGAATTATGGGGACTGTGGAAAACTATGTTTAGTTCAAATTAAACTTTCAAAATTACGAGATCTGAAAATTAGTCATTTTAACTGTTCATTAAAGTTTTGTTAATTAGATGGTAATGTTTGTTAAATGAATCCGATTTTGAAATCATGGCTCATCCATGGTCGGTCTAGAGAAATGGATGCTTTGTATCCCATAAAAGAAAAGAAAGACCTTTTGGTTAAGGTGAGAGCAAGTCTAAGCATTTCCATTTTATTTATCTTTTTTTCTGTATATCAAATTGAGTTAAAAATTTGGGATTCTATAGTTCTCACCCTCAAGCACCTATAAAAAAAAATACAAAAAATTATTTGGAAAAAATAAAATGATTGAATTACCCTCACCAACAGTTGAGAGCATATTTCAGTATTTCAATTTTATTTTATTTTCTATATACCAGATTGAGCTAAATCTTGCACGTCTATCCTTCTCCCTCATGCACATGTAAAAAATATAAAATATATTTTAGAAAATATAGAATAACCAAAACACCTTGAAATTCCACATTGTAGATCACCTAAAACACTATCGATCTCAACCTTCAAATCTAGATGGGAAGGTGTAGAGTATTTCAGTTTTAAATTTTTTTTGGGGTAAATATTGAATGGATCTAAATTTCAGGCAACTTTACATCTAAATAACATGCACCTATAAAAAAATATTAAAATAATTTTTTTTGAGAAATAAAAATGATTGTTTGCAGCTGAAACTTTGAGGGGTAGTTTGGTCATTTTATTTTATATAAATTATATTTTTGACATTTTTGTAAACCTACCCAATTAGTAGCACATGCCCTCCAAATTTCATATAGATCCTATTCAGGATAGAAATTGAATTTTGTGAACATTTTCAAAATGACAAAATGGTCCAGAAAATGGGAATCTGCATTTCCCATTTTTGGGTAATTCACTCTTCCATGGGGGGTGGTCAAAGTCCTGTGGACTTCCTTCCACTGTACCATTCCAGTTGCCAAACTGGGAAATGCTACAATATTTAAGAATTTCGTTTCTGGGAACCAAATTTCTGGTTACCAAATGACCCTCGCATACAAGGAAATTTCAGGCATTCACAAACATAGGACTAGCAATTTTCGAGGGATAATCAGAAAAATAGATGCATTGAGGTCAGTATACATAATGCTTAAAATCAGCATGACAAGCAAAAGAAATGTAGATGTGGGGTTTGCATGACATGAGCTATGAATAGAGGAGCTTATTTGACTAATGACAGCAGTGATTCAAAATTTCGACTTCATCTCGATGGTAAGATGTTTACGTTTCTTGAGAGTCCAAGTTATACACATCCAAAATCAGAAAAAGGAATGTGAAAAGGAAGACTAGTAAATACCTCAATACGGCCAGGATCACTATTTCTTAATGGTAGCTTCCAATTCCTTGATGACATACTTCCATGTTTATCTTTGTTTTTGTTGTGTAAATGCTTCCAATGGAGTGGCACATTTCGAGTATTCAAAAGTGCAAGCAAATATTGAGCAAGACGCTCTTCGCCAACCACAGAATCTTTTACAGCTCCTGTAAATGCAAATAGTTATGAATGAATGCTGAAAGAATGTGTCTATGTTTTTTTCTTCTTCTTCTCTCTCTCTTATTGAGAGAGAGAGAGGAACTCAACCAATCAGGCTGCTCTAGTAACCTTCTTCTGCATGCATAAGGTTCCTAAATTGCGCACAACCATACTGCGATTCAAATATACAAGCATATCTTGATTTTCTGCAGAAATCATTTGATAAGAAACCAAATAACTCTACATAAAAACAACAGAATGAGGGGCAGAAAACAAAACCGTACCTGTAAGGGCCAGCTTTAACCCAGTATCAATATCTGGAATGCTAGGAACCAATATGCCTGGAGTATCGAGAACATAAATGCTTGGTTGATGAGCAATCTGCAGCAAAAGCATCCGCCTGCGGTAAATAAACTTTCTAAAAAGATAATTTGCAAGAAAGGATTGGTCAGAGAAGATAGATGGCTTCATTATAATTTCCGCATAAAACAATTTTTGTACATGAAGCAACATGTTGGTGCCAGCACTTTATAACAAACTTTGATACTTAGTAATACCAGATGAGATTCTATCAAATGACTAACTTCTGCCAAGATACATAAATTCATACACCATGCACACACAACTGAACATACAAGAATACATGCATACATGTGTGCAGTCATGCATCTGTTTGTTCTTGTGTCTGTGTGTATGAGAGAGAGAGAGAATGAGAGGTTGAAAAAGTACAAAAAGAATAGAACTGTAGAAAAAAATGAGAAAGGACAACTTGTGAGAAGATGCACAATAGCACATGCAACCACAGCTTCAATCTCGTAGAAAATTACAACTCCTTAATGAACAAATTGACCTTGAATCCTGCTATATCCTGAGTTACACCTGGCAGAGGTCCCACAGTCGCCCGTTTTATCTTCTCCTGCACTAAAAAGAAGCGAAAATTAAGCTCAGAAAAGAACATCGAGAAACGTTAAAAGGTGGTGATAACAAAGACTATCACACTAAACAAATAACACATTTTATGCCATTTGGTTACCAGGAAAGTTAGCAGAAGCAATTTGGTGAATGGAATTGATGAGAGCTGATTTGCCAACATTAGGAACACCAACAACCATAACAAGAAGTGTCGGATGCCTCAAAATTGCCTCGTTTAACTTTAATTCCACGAGATCTAGAAGCTGGCATCATAAAACAACATATCAACCACATAAAAGGTATTCACATAATTAAAATGAGAGAGAGAGAGAGAGAGAGCTTGAACAAAATGTAGCAAAATTAAAATAAACAGAAAATAACACAAAAAGTACAATTAGGCTCTACAAATGGGGATTGCCCCAACCCTGAAGTTGAAATCAGCACATTTAAATTGCACGTACCATATGATAATATGCACTAATAAAACTCGCATGTGTGTGTGTGTGTGGTTGTTGGGATTTGTGGCCTTTAAATGTCTTAGCTCTTGTATATACCCCATGTAAGTATGTAGGCAGGCTATTGGTACATTATGGGACACGTGTTTCAGTGGGAGTATTGGGCCTTACAGGATTTGGAGTGATGTGGCATGAGTGCCATGGACTCTACGCCGTGGCTTAATTGATTTCAGATATTTTATGGCTTTTCTCAACCCGTTATGTGCCAATACTTTTGGAGACTTTGAGCAAGGAAACCATTGGATCGCAGGTGCTTACTTGTTAGGCTATTAGTAATTTCTTCGGAGGTGACTTTTCTTTGGAGGTTGTTTTCTTCTTCAGTGATTTGGGTTTCATAAGGCGGATTCAATTGGAGAGAGATTGGTTGTACTCTTCTAGAAGGTTCTTGTAAAAGCTAGTGACCTCATGGAGATCTCTTTTTTGTTGTTCGTGATTGAGCCATATTGACTTTTAAGTTTAGAGATTGTTGTTCGAGACTTATAGTCAATGTTTTAGAGTAAACGAGTTTGGTACTGGAATTGCCTTGGTAATCCAATCTTGCCTTAACTTTTGTAACGTTTGTTTCCCAAAAGAAGCCTCACTCATAAGTGCTATGGAGAGCTCACTATTGAGCTTCTTTTCCTCGGCTTAAAGCCAAAAGAAGTCATCTTTGGCTTAATCCCTGATGCACCAATAGTGGAGGGTTTCAGGTTAACCCTTCTTGATGTCAATAGGTATTTTGGGAACTCTAATTCTATGGGAAACTTGGCAGCTCCATTTTGGGAACACTCTATGGGGAATATCATAAAAAGTACAATTAGGCTTATTCAATAGGACCGCTAACTCTATGAGTGGTATGGACTATTGCTTCAGTCTGCTGTCTAGCCCTAGGCTTGATTAGGCCCTCCTAGCAAGATACTCCTATGTGAGGTATATGACCAGGAGGACGCAGAATTAGTCTCCTTCGTGAGGATTCGAGGCTTATGAGGGCAAGCTAAATGCCTCTACACCACCCTTATGGCATGCACACATGATAGCCATGCTTTTGCACACGGGACAGGTTTGCATGTGTGCTGAGGGAGGTCTCTCACAATATGATAGTGCATGTCTGGTATAGACATGACTTACCCTAGGCAAGCACCTGTAATCTTTGACAACTCTGTAGTTAATTTACACCTTGGCTGACTTCCCACTCATGAGTGATTGCAAAGAGACAAGCGGATCATGGGTCTGTTGGGTTGGTTTAGGGGGTAGAGTGTAATTATTAGATTTAGCTAGCATAGGGCACCTAGTTGTAAAGTTTATCCGATAGCAGCCTCACTCTCCCAATGATTTTTTCCTAAGGTTTTCAGCAGCTTTTTGAGAGAAATAAATTATTTTTATTTTCTTAAAATAGTCACAAATGTGTGTTGCATAATAGTTAAAAGTAACAAGTACTTCTAGAAATTAATTTTTGTCCTCAGTAGGGGTATATGTAATAATTTACTTGTTTTGTGAGGCACAATTTAAGGGGATATATGGGAGAACAAATGGGGCACATGTGGAGCATGTTAGTGACACAAATGTGGATACCTAGAAGGGTGGCCTACTGGCCATGGTGTCCCTTGTGGCAGAAAATTCCTGGTCCTAATTGCACTAAGGCTACCCATGAATGCATATAAGTGGAGGGCAGGGCACCACTTCCCATGCTTTTCCAATTCAATTCAATCCCTTATTTGGAATTAGGTGAATTGATTTCCAACAATATTAGAATTGCTCTTGAAAAGGATTAAATAAAGATTTGGGAAGACATTATTGAAAAGTTAGTTAGAATGTTGTTAGGAAATCCTAGTAGTTAATCTTTTGTGGAAGAAAAACTATACAGGAAGATCAAAGAGTGTGGGACAAACTACTAAGGATCAAGGAGTTTTCTTCAACCTAGATTCATGATGATCGACTCTTGGCTGGATGGCTGAAATTAAAAGCCTCTCATCCCATAGATTTCCCAATAGTAGAGGCCAAGATCTAATTCTCCAAATACCGTTAGAGCCTTTATAAATACAGCAAGCACGAGTTATTCCACGTAACAAATCACATGAGGCATTCTTGGGCTTAGGATTCACGTGGAGAGCAAAGAGAGGTGCTTGAGGGATCCTAGAGTGTCTTTAGGAGAGAGAAAATTGTAAGAAGAAGCTTTGGTGTGAGTGGTTTAAGAAAACCTAATGAGGATTCTAAACCAGTTTGGTTTGACAGAAACCACGAGAGAATAAGGGCCTGAATTCTCCATCCCCATGCCTGAATTTTCTTCCCAAACAGAAGAGGAAAAGATTTTTCCCTCACAGATTGATGGGCCATAAATCCAGGAAATCATGAGAGATATAAGAAGTCCTAAGAGGTGATCCTAGCAAATTTTCAGGTTAGTATTTTTGCTGATTCTTGTGTTAACTAGGGTCTAGTTTTCTGAATGTGGTAGCAAGTCTTTACTTGGGATTTTTCTTTTCTTTTTGTTTCATTTTTGTTTTGAAAAATAAGGGAAACACCTGTAATGTGCTAGGCTGAAATAAGAATAACTCTTGTAATTTTTTAGAAAAGGAACACCTAGCATGCCCCTACTGTTGCTCATAATTTGTAAAGAAGCAGCACTTCCATTCCATCTATTAGGCTCTGGCAGAAGATTCTTAACTACTTCAGGTACATATGTACTTTTAAAGTATAAAACTGAAATGATTGAAAGAAAGAAACAACATTGGAACAGTCTAAACTGACCTTCTTGACTGAGTTCTTGTTGTGAGCACTTATAGGGAGACAGTCTTGCTTACATGAATCAAAATGTTGAAGCCATTTCTGCAAAATTGCAAAATTTTGGTGAAATTCCCTCCATCCATGTAAGATTAAAACAGCACACCTATGGAAGTCACACAAAATGCTTGAATTGAGGAAACTGGGAGCATTTGTCAAACAGAACAGATATATGGAACGGTCGATGATGTGCTAAAAGAAATAACAATCAGAGAAAAAAACAATATTCAATAAGACTTTCACAATGTCATAAATCATATATTGTTTTCCAACAAAATAATAAACGATTTATGACATTGTGAAAGTCTTATTGAATACTATGAGAGAAAGAAGATGGATACAGAATTGTTATATTAAATTTTTAAAAAACCATCACAATTGTTAACAGAAAGGAAATGAAATGATTAGAGGACCACCTCTAAGAAACTGACCAGGATGGGTAAAACTACTTGCTCTAAAAATCGCACAGGAATGATAAAGGCCAGTCTAAATTGAATCCAAACGTGTTATTGACAAAATCATAATTGGTTTCGTCTCAAAGGGGGAATGACGGTTAGGAATCAGTTCCTTATGAAATGAAAAACACAGCATTCCATTTTTCTTTTATTGAGCTAACAAAAAATTATATATCAAGTAATCCCCTTCACATATCGCCAGAAAGAAAAGATATTCCTTCACTATAACAATCTTGATCTGATCAGAGGGAAGTGATAAACAATCGAAGATTGGTCTAGTTAAGCTTGTAAAAACTAGAATTCTATAAGTAGAAGCCCCTACTTACCAGAAAAGCAGGCCAAAACCAATCCATGGCTGAGCATGTAGAAGTTGGAACAGTTGAATGCAAAAAAGGTCTTTCATTAAAGGGAATTTAAGCAGCTTTAAACAGAGAAAGATGTTGGGATTGTCGGTTGTTCATTTTTCAGAATCAAGAGATATATACATTAGCTCCAACCCACCAAATTGTCATTATAACATCAATGTCACATGCAGAGATAGAGCAGCAGTATTTGAATTCTTTAAAGATGAATTATTAATTCATATTTAAAGTGATAGAAGACTAAGGAGATATACCGATGAACACCACTTTATGAAGAACTTCAATAACACATGAGCAAATTAAAAAAAAATTTCAAAGTAATAGGTCCTCTAGAATAGTTCGATAGCACCTTTACTCTCAATGATTAAAATGGCAGAAAAGTTAATGAACGATTTCATTGATGCAGAAGGCCACTTACATTCATCATGTTTGAATTTGCGAGGTCTTTCTTGTTAAGCGCTATCACTCGTCTCTTACAAGAAAGCACATGCTGCATGTCTTCATTCACTGATGACAAAGGAATCTGTCCAAGATTACTCCACAGCGTTACTATGAACTCTTTCTACCATGAAAATTGCATACCTAATCAAATTCAACAATCTCTTATACACCATTTTCATGAACATAAAGCATCTCTTATTTGACATTCTGCTAATGGATATCTAATAAATAATCGGCTATCTAATAAAAGAAAAAATGAGAACTAAAAAAATGGGGAAATAAAATGTTTGTATAATGAACAATAGAAGAATTCGATAATATCTCACACGCCGCATTTTCCTAAACGTACAATCTTCTAATGTGGTACTCTGATAATGTCCAACAAAAAACATTATTATGGAACAAAGAGAACAACAATAATAACAATAGTATTTAATAAAAGAGGTAATATTAACCTTCAACAGTAAATCAAGGAACTCTCATTTATCAGTGACAAATTCAATACTTGCCAAGTTTTTATGGAATACAAATGTATCATAAAATAAAGGATCAAAATGCCATCGAATCAAACGAAAGGAGGTCTGCCATGAATGACTCCAAACCACAAATTAAAGACTCAATAAAGCCAGAAATTATAAGCAAATGGATCCATGGAAAAGCCAGAAAATTCCCACTTTGAAAAATTGAGGAAAAATAGAACTCTGCCAGTTTCTCTGAGGAAGCAGTTTGGGGTCCACTACTACACAATTTTCTGTCTTTGCCATTTGAAAATTTCAATAAGAGTTTTTATGAAGAGCCTAGCGAGAGAGGGAGAGGGGTTTAGTACCCTTGCATCTCGCACTTCTATGACCATGTCAGCGAGCTTGAGGCGGTTGCGAATGGCGCGAGTTGCAGCGGCCATGTGACCTGGGAACCAATTTATTATCCCCCCTCCTTTCATCATCCCAAGCTCACCCAAACGCCTCCCCATAACCCCCATCTCTCTCTCTCTC